TTTGGTTTTTCTCCGGTACCAGGAACCGAACTCACGACCTTGCGCTTGCCAGGCAGGCGCTTTTGCCGCTGAGCTAAATCCCCAGCCCCGGGATGATTCTTTTTAAAACAGATGTACTGGGGGTTGAACCACTGAGCTAGATCCCAGCCTTTTTTTATTTCAAAACGCCTTCACTACGTTGCCCAGGCTGCCCTGAGACTTGCAGTCTTGAATTGGCCTCCAAGTAGCTGGGATGATGGGGGTGCGCTGCCACACCCAACTGGAAGACGGACTTTTAGAAATCCCCCTTTTGAAACATGTAATCCAGTACTTTACATTGAAACTCTTTTGTGGTGGCCTTTGCAATTTATTTCTTTGTTTATTTTTACAGATTCCTTTCCTAAGGAAAGTTTTAACAGCCATTTCTAGTATCCATTCATTATGGCAGGTATGTAGTTATTTAAAGTAAATTGATTGAACTTAATGTTTACACTTGCTGGTTCTGTGACCCTAGATGAAGCAGTCTGCTCCTCAGTAAAGAGCAGAGTAGATCAGCCGCAGGACGGTGCTCACATTCTGCCTCCGGAAGATGCTGCTTTTCTGGGGTCTCCAGGCCTCACGAATCGCGTCGTCATCGTGCTGTCAAAACCCTTGGCTCCTCTAACATTCGTGGCAGTGTGATTTATTTTAATTACGCTTTGGGCTGCCCCCTCATAGACCTGGCAGATCTCTGAAGTCAGAGCACAGGTCTTTCTCATCTTTTATCAGTTTCACAAGTTGTGTACTCATATAAACGTTATACACACACACAGGTCATTCATTCCTAATTTAATAAATTAGAACAGTGTGGAAATTATGCTGAGCAAATTCTCTTTTACTATTTTTCTTCATGTTATCTCCCTAGAGGTAATCACTATTTATGGTTTCTTACGTATCCTAGAGCTTTCCTGTCAGTGCACAAGCATATAGTTATGAGTGAGTGTGTGTGTGTGTATATATACACACATTTTTTGTTTTTTGCTTTTGTTTTTGGTACCGAGAATCGAACTCAGGACTTTGTGCTTGTCAAGCAAGGCGCTGTGCCGCTAAGCTATATCCCTGGCCCCCATATTTGTAAACATAAATGCAATCACATTCTAGACAAACTGCTGTTTGCATGACCTGATTGTACTAGAACAGGACATACAGATCTAGTTCTTTTTTTTTTTTTTTTTTTTTGGTTAAGATAAAATTCACCCTTTTAAAGTATATACTCAAGTGATTTTTTAGTGTATTTAGAAAGTTGTACAACCACAAACATTATCTGATACTGGAATATTTTCCTTACCCCTAACAGAAAATCCATTGTCATTCATCCCCTGTTTGCCCCTCCCTGCAGGCCCTAGGAGTCATTAATCTACTTCCTCTGTATGGATTTATCTGTGCTGCACATTTGCTGTCAATGGAATATGCGGCCTTTTATGTCTGGCTTCTTTCTCTTAGCATATGCTACATGATAGCATATGTTAGTACTTCATTTCTTATATTACCAAATAATGTTCCATTGCGTAGATATACAGGGGACACTTGCTACTCAGGGGGGATTGGTTTTAGGGTGCTACCACCACCCTGCAGCTAGCAAAGCCTTCCAATGTCAAGCCGCTTATATGAAATGGCATACTGTTTGCATAGAACCTGTGCACACCCCCGTACTTTAAATACCTAACACAGTTTTGATGTGGTGCCGTTGTTATGCTATATTGTTTAGGAAATAATGACCAAAGACAGCTGGTATGTATTCAGTAGGGGCCCAATTTTTTTTTAATGTATATTCATGGATGCAGACCCTGAGGGTACAGAGGGGCAGATACACACATTTTATTTATCTATTTAGCAGCTGGTGGGCACTTAGGTTGTTTCCACTTTTTGGTTTTTATGAATAACGCTGCTTTGAACATTCTTGGACAAGTTTTTAGGTGCACATGTTTTTTCTTTTTTTTTCTTTTTCTTTTTCTTTTTTTTTTGGTATTTTCTCCGGTACCAGGAACCGAACTCACGACCTTCCGCTTGCCAGGCAGGTGCTTTTGCCACTGAGCTAAATCCCCAGCCCCCACGCATGTATTTTCATTGAGTATATACCCAGGAATGGGATTGTCGGCTCTCATGTATCTGTGTTAGCCTCTTAAGGTATCTCATTGTTTAAATTTATTTTATTTGTTTTGGCCTTGCTGGGCATTGAACGCAGGGTCTTGCACATACGTATCAGGCAGGCTCTCTACCGCTGAGCTACATCCCCAACCCTTGTCCTTAGTTTCAGTTCTTAATTGTTCCCATAGTATGGAGTGAAATATACCAGAAGTTATTTAAGCGCTTCTCTATTGGTGTGCTTTCCAAACTCATTTTCTTGAAATTCCGTCATCGCCCTCCCCGTGCCCTGTGGCCCTGGCATCTGGACTGGCACAAAACGGGCTGTACCTGAACTTGGTTTCCTGCACTGAGCTCTGGTGCTTTGTTCCTAATGGAACAATAATAAATCTTTCAAATTGTGTAAAAAGATGGTGGAGTGTATAGTTAGGAAGAAAATCTTCCTAGAATCTTAATCATCTCAAACAGGGTAATACCAATTTATGATTTTGATCTTAACATCTAGAACATAACCTTTACATGTATGGTTCTGTGCCTGCAAAATAGAGTTGTAATATCGCAGACATGAATGCTTTACTGCACTTGTTTCCCCAGGTTCCCTACTTCAGCAAAGCTTGGCAGCACGTGATACAGATACCCCTGCTCACAGGTATTTTCCTGTCTTCTGAAGCACCAGCAGTAGAGTTTGTAGCTGAGCACCTGTGTGTATCATTGTTTTTTCTTTTCAGCCTCTTGTCCTTTAAGGCCCAGTCAGTTAACAGATTGCTGTAAGAGTCTTGTCGCTGTCCTAGAGTAAGTAAAATGTTTGTTCTTCTACCTAGAAAATAAAATCTGTTGCTTAGAAAATTCTTTCCTGGTAGACATGTCTGTGAGCACACACACACAGACCACCTGTGGCTTTGCTTCTGTCGTCTCCTAAGTTTTGAATTGCCTTCGCTCCAGGATGTCACTTGCCCCTTGGAGCAGCACGCCCATGCCGTCTGCACTGCGCGCCCCGCAGCCTCACAGCTGCTCAGCTGTTGCAGGGCTATGGTGCTTGTGTGCAAGAAGGTCTCGCCCTACTCACTCATGGCCCCAAAGAGCAAGTGTGTGTGATGCCGGCAGTTTTCTTACAGTATATTGTTATAACTCTGTTTTATTATTAATTACTGCTGATCTCTTACTGTGCCTAATTTATAAATTAAACTTCTTCAGAAGTATATGTACATAGGGGAACATAGTAAATATGGGGTTTGGCATTATCCAAGTTTTAGGTATAAACAAGGAGTCTTCGAATATACCCCAAGCATAAGGGGACCAATGTGATTCCCTTGTGTTGGGAAACTAAGCCTCAAACTTTGGTCATATTGGGGATGGAATCCAGACCCTTGCTCGTGCCAGGCAAGTGCCCCACCCCTGAGCTACATCCTCAGTACATCACTTGTTCTATTTGTTTGTTTGTTTATTTTTGGTTTTTTGAGACAGGGTCTTGCTATGTAGTTCAGGCCTTGAACTCACTACATAGCCAAGGCTGGCCTCAAACTTGCAGCCATCCTCCTGCATCAGTGCGGAGATTTTTTTTTTTTTTTTTTTTCACCAAGTACTGGGATTACAAACTTGTGCCACGATGTCCTTTATCACTTGTTCTTTTTTTTTTTTTTTGTCTTTTTGCAGCAGGGTCTCACTATGCAGTTCAGGCTGGCCTTGAGCTCACTTTGTAGCCCAGGCTGGTCTTGAACTTGCAACGATCCTCCTGCCTCAACCTCCCGAGTGCTGGGATTACAGGCATGCGCCACCATGCCCGACCATCACTTGTTCTTATAGCAGAGCATTTGTTATTTTTATGTTGTCTGCTCTCCATGTGTGGTGCTTTCAATTTCCTAGTAAACTGATACTCACTAACCATTCTCTAAAATTAGTACCTGATGTTAGTGTAAATATAAAGTGCCTTTTATGACTTCTCAGCCTGGCAAATCCTACAGCCTTGTGTTGTAAATTTTGAATCTTGTAAGAATTGATTTTACCCATCTGTAGGCTTCCAAATTTAATCCTAGTAAGAGAGAGTAGTCCATGTGCTAGGTAGATTGTTTTATTCTAGGTAGATGTCATCAAAGACCTGAGTTATGCGTTACTAAGCACTTTGGTATTTTAAATTACTGAAAGCCTGGACAGGTGACATCTGCAGAAAGCTAGAAAGGTCAATAGAGTATAGTGAATCTGACAGGCTGTTAATAATTAATGTGTTCTCTCAAAGATGTCCAGTTTCAGATGATCTTGACATGATGGGAGTCGCCAGGCAGTACATCCAGTTAGAGCTTCCGGCTTTTGCATTAGCTTGTCTGATGCTCATGCCCCACTCCGAAAAGAGAAACCATCAAATCAAGGTATCTTAGACGTTATTCCTCTGGGGTTGCCAGGGAAATGGACGCTCTGGGATTGCGCACTGTGAAAGGTTGTGAAAGGTTGCATTTTCTCTCCCAAACCTGTGAAGCACAAAGACTGACTGTAGTGGGAGGTGGTTGAGTGACCGTACAGCAGAGGAGGCAGGCAGAGGTTCGACGGAGGTTTGTCTTAAAAGAGGTTTGGACTAACATTTGTCTGTGGGGAACAACCGATTTCACGGTAGAGTAAAGTGAAATGATGAAGGCTGTCATCCCCTTTCCATGTAGGCTTGGGCAGAGGAGACGGGTAGCAAGCAGGAAAACTCCTGGGAAACTGTGCGGGCCGCCCAGAACATTAGCTCGCTCAGTGCAGACGGACGGCCCAGCTGTGCGCGGCGCAGGCGCTGAGGGGAGCTTACGGGTGTGCGGCAGCAGTGGGGACGGCGCAGGCGGGCAGCCTGGCTCGCAGCCGCCGCGAGAGATGAGAGGAGGCAGATTTTCCATGTGGGTGTTTAACCAAGAAGCCGTGAGCATTCTGAGGATGGGACTTTTAAAAATAACTCCTTTCCCTTAATACACGAACAGATAGAACAGCTTTTCCGCCCGTTCTCCCCTACCCCTCCGAGGGCCGGTCCGGCTGCACCGCGCTCGCCCTGAGCTCCCGGCTCCGGCTAAGCTTGCGCGGCCGCCGTCTCCCTCAGCCGTCACCATGATTATCTGCCGGGACCTCATCAGCCACAGCGAAATGCTCTCCGACATTCACAAGACCCGGGAGATCGCAGACGAGCTGTGCCCGGAGGTGGAGGGCAAGATGGTTGGTAGAAGGAGAGCAACATCGATGACTCGCTCGGCGGTGGGAACGCCTCCGCTGAGGGCCCGGCGGGCGAGGGCAGCGAAAGCACCGTGGTCACCGGTGTGGACTCTGTCAGGAACCACCACTTGCAGGAAACCAGCTTCACAAAAGAGGCCTAGAGAAGTACATCAAAGACTACAAGAAATCAGTCAAGGCAGACTTGAAGAGCAGAGACCAGAAGGAGTAAAACCATTGAGGACAGGGGCTGCAGAACAAACCAAGCACGTCCTTGCTAATTTCAAAAACTGTCAGTTCTTTATTGGCGCAAACGTGAATCTAGACGGCATGGTTGCTCTCCTGGACTGCCGTGAGGGTGGTGTGACCCCATTTATGATTTTCTTTAAGGATGGTTTAGAAACGGAAAAACGTTAATGGATTCGGTGGTTACCTTGGATCTATCACTTGTGAAAACTGGCTGCTGCTTGTCACCCACACAACACCAGGATTTCAGACAAATGGGATTGACGTCATCTTGAATGCTTTGTTTATTTTGACTGTGTTTTATTTGGAGTGGAGGCATTGTTTTTTGGGGAAAAAACACGTCATATAGGTTGTCTAAACGTAAAGTGCATTTAAACTCAAAAAAAAAAAAAAAGAACAAAGCATTTTAAATGTTTTATAGTTATTTCTTCCACAGGTGTATAAGGAGGGACATGGAGATCTATATAAATGAATATGCATGTTTTTTAGTTGTCATTGAGTCTATTAATTGCATTTTCTCAAAACCACCATACTTGTCTTTGATTTTTTTTTTTCCTTCTTTTGATTATTCACAAATTCATCCTTTGCTTTTTTCAACATTTCAGAATTTAAATAGCTTCCCTTTGGCACTTAGGAGTAATGCTTATAAACCATTTTTGCTCTTTGAATAAGTAGTTATAAAAAACTTTTTTCCTCTTATTTGAAATACTTTTTTTTTTTTTTTTTTTTGGTTTTTCTCTGGTACCGGGAACCGAACTCACAACCTTGCGCTTGCCAGGCAGGCGCTTTGCCGCTGAGCTAAATCCCCAGCCCCTTTTCCTTTTATTTTAGTAATACTTGTTGATAAAATTTTTTCCTACGTTAGAAATTCTTTTCTTGGGGCTGGGGATTTAGCTCAGCGGCAAAAGCGCCTGCCTGGCAAGCGCAAGGTCGTGAGTTCGGTTCCCGGTACCAGAGAAAAACCAAAAAAAAAAAGAAATTCTTTTCTTTCAAATTTTAAAGTGCAAACCTTCCATACTTGACAGAAATTAGTAATAATAATACTTTTTAAAATTGTGTTTTAATTTTTTTTTCTAGAATTTTCTGGGCTCATGCAATCCTCAGATCATTTTACAGCAATTAGAAGAACATATGAATTCTGGACAGCTAGCAGGATTTGCACATCAAGTAAGACAATTTTGTCTCTTTTCTATGAAAAATTTGGTCCTAGACAGTAAGCATTCTCTCTAAACTAAGACCGAGCTAGAGTATCTTGCCATTTGTTAATATCTAAATACTATTTTGCTTTTATTAAAATCTCTTAAAAAGCAGGGATCCTAACTATCTTATTTACTGTTCCTCTCAGTGGAAATTTTATAGCCTTAACTGCTTGTAATTTGGGGGCTTTTCATTTGTGCGTTTTTGTTTTCTTTTGTTGTAGATTCTTTTTTTTTTTGGTTTTTCTCCGGTACTGGGAACCGAACTCACGACCTTGCGCTTGCCAGGCAGGCACTTTGCCGCTGAGCTAAATCCCCAGCCCTCTTTTGTTGTAGATTCTTGAGACAGGGCCTCACTGTGTAGGTCAGGCTGGTCTTGAACTCACTGTGTGGTCCAGGCTGGCTTTGAACTCACAGCTATTCTCCTACCTCAGCCTCCCAAGTGCTGGGGTTACAGGCGTGCGCCACCCTCCCATCAGATGCTTGTAATTACAAGCAGATCTTCTCCCTCATAAAAAGCCCCAGCAGTCTGAACTGCACTGGCTTCCCATCTCCGTGGTGTGTGCTGCACTGGGCCAAAGCCTTTCCCTCCTCCAAACAGGAGGCGCGGTGCTGACGCAGTGGTAATCCAACTTCTGGCTGCAGCAGTTTCCAGGGTTGAATAAAGAATCTGGGAACTGAGCACATTTTTAATATGATGATACCTATCGTTCTGTAGATTAGAAGCCTGATTCTGAATAATATCATAAAACAGAAGGAATTCGGGATTTTGGCGAAGACAAAATACTTCCAGGTGTTGAAATCGCACATGATGAATACTGACAGCATCACTGAGCTAGTCAGCTATTTGGCAAATGACTCAAGGTAAGTGAATTTGGAAAAAAATAACTCCCTATAGAATTTCCCTAAAGTAAACCTTTATTTGGAGGAAACTATCAAACAGTTGTAGAGCTACGTGGTTGAAATTATAAGTTCAAAATACTAAGCTACTGCACATGCCCTAAGTTAACCACCTGGTCACCTGAAGGTGCAGAGCGTGAACTTGGAGTCAGACCGTGAGACAGGCGTGCGAGTCCCTGCAGTGGTGCCTCACAATCCGCCCCACGCCCTGCATTGCAGCTGGGTTCCTTAGAGCCTGCTCGCAGCAGCAGGAGCTTCTGCGACACAGTCTGCTGAGCTCCATTAGCTCATTTCCTGCGCCCGCTAGTGTAGAAACAACAAGCTTCTGGGGATGGAGCGGGCCGGGTGTTTCTGAAAACAGGAGGAGGCCGTGGTCTGACCCTGCGGGGAGGCTGGGTGCCGTCAGGAGGAAGTGCAGCGGGTGTTTGTTTTCGTTCTGAGTAGCCAGCATTGTGCATTGTCATTTATGGATGAGTATTATTTTTTTTGGAGGGGGGAGTATTATTTTTTTGAGGTATAGTTGAGACATCATAAGCCACACATATTTGAATATATGCTTTGATGCGTTTTGACATCTGTGTACCCTGTGAAGCCAGCCCTACAGCAAAGAGTGCAAACTTTTATCCCCCTAGAGGAGACTTCAGCGTCCGTTTCCTTTCTACTCCACAGCATAGACGAAGCATCGGCCCTGATCAGTGAGTATTCAAAGCACTGCGGGAAGCTTGTGCCACCAGATGCAGCCCCTGGCGAAATCCTGAAGGTAAAGCTGGTGGCCAGCTTCTTAGATTCTAACCTAACACCATAATATTTCTGCAGTCTTGAAATTGACCCAGCCTTTCTTGATGTTCTGGAGAGAAATCTGTTCTTGTGTGTGTGTAGACAGTCATGCATTGCTTAGGGCCACGTTATGAGAAATTAGTCATATGAATATCCTAGTGTAAATGCCCAGTGCCTGCTTACACCATTTACACAAACCTGCCCGGTATAGGTCAGTCATTCAGGGTGAAATACCAGCTACTCAGCAAACTGAGGCAGAAGGATTGCCATTTGGGGTCAGCCAGAGCAATTTAGGGAGACACTGTCTAAATAAAAAATAAGAATGGGGCTGGGTGTGGTGGCGCACACCTGTAACCCCAGCACTCAAGAGGCTGAGGCAGGAGGATTGTTGCAAGTTTGAGAACAGCCTGGGCTACAAGGTGAGCTTAAAGCCAGTGTGAATGCATAGCAAGACCCTGTCTCAAAAAGACAAAAAAAAAAAAAAAGATGAGAATGGGGATGTAGCTCAGGGGTAGAGCCCTCCTGGGTTCTACTCCCAGCACCCACATGAATAGAAAAGAAAGAGAATGCATAGAAAATAAATGAATAGAAAAGAAAGAGACACAGGAGTTACAAGATGTGTGTGGCAGCTGCCACTGTAACATGACAGATCTTCTGTGGGAAGCCTGTTTTTAAGTTGGAATCCACTAAGATAGTGACTAGACAGCATGGGTGATAAGTCTGTACACTGGTAGCACCTTTCTTATCAAGCACAATTACGTGTCCTCCTCAGCTGAGCGCACAGTGGGCTTGTGTGCCCAAGTGTGCGTGAGGCACTGTGCTAGCAGCAGCACAGTGGCTGTGACATCACTAGACGGGATCCTCTGCTCCTTTGTAATCCCATGAGGTCGCGGTCATAGGCGCAGGCCATCGTGGACCACAGTCATCGCACACGGCCCTCCTTCTGTTAGGGAGCCCTAGAGCAGGAGACGGGCGGGGGCCGTGTTCCTCACACAGCCAGTGGGCAGCCCTGGGCACGCCCTTCAGCCTGCGATGCTGTGGTCTTGGGACCCAGAGCCCATGGCCCTCTTCTGTGCTTTCCAGAGTCTCTGTTCCGTATAGTGTCCTTTCCACTATTGAAACTAAGTGTCATTTCCATTAGTGAGAAACTAAGTTTTAAAAGGTATGGATTATTGTCACATTTGAGTATTTGTTGCCTTGATTTCTTTTTGTTCTGTGTCTGTGTGTTACAGGGGATTGAACTCAGGGCTCATGCATGCTAAGCTACTGCTATACCACTTTTTCTGGCCTTGAGCTTGTGATCCTCCTGCCTCAGCCTTCTGAGTGTCTAGGATTACAGGCTTGCACCACCATGCCTAGTTATTTTTTTTTCTCTAATTATTTGAGAGATGTATGTTCCCTGTAGAAAGAAGAGAAACATGAAAAAGGAAAAAAAAAAAAAGGTGTACTGGTCTGAAATCTCACTGCCCAGACAGGATCACTGTCACTTTCTTCCCCAGTACTCTACTGGGGCACCCAGGGCCTACAAGGGGCTATGTCCACAGCCCTTTTTAAATTTTTTGTTTTGAGGTGAAGTCTTGCTAAATCTCCATGCTGAATTTGAACTCGTAGTCTTCCTGTCTCAGCCTTCCTGAGTTCTGGGATTACCAAATACACCACTGTACCAAGCTACTATAGATAAAATATGCACATAAATTAATTTTTTCAGATTTTGAACTTTAAGATAAAATGTTTACTTTGATTCTGTTTTGGTAGTTTTAGTAAACTTAAGTATGGTATTTTTTTTTCTTCCTTTGGTTCTTATCAGCATATGGAAATGGGTGGGGTAACACACACCTGTAATCCCAGCACTCTGGAGGCTGAGGCAGGAGGATCAGTTACAAGTTTGAGACCAGCCTGGGCTACAAAGTAAGCTCAAGGTCAGCCTGCACTACACAGTGAGACCCTGTCTCAAAAAGACAAAAAAAAAGAACAATAAAATATGTTTCTTCAGGGCTTGGCGTGGTGGCGCACGCCTGTAATCCCAGCACTCTGGAGGCTGAGGCAGGAGGATCAGTTACAAGTTTGAGACCAGCCTGGGCTACAAAGTAAGCTCAAGGTCAGCCTGCACTACACAGTGAGACCCTGTCTCAAAAAGACCAAAAAAAAGAACAATAAAATATGTTTCTTCTTAGTCATATCTGTCTAAAATACCAACTAATTTTTATATAGATTTTATTACTCCAGTTAATTCTTAAATTGTATAGTTTATTTACCATTTTCTGTTTAAAAAAACTTACACTCATAAAATGTTTCCTTCTTTTTTCCCATTTAGATGTTCCTTAATGGACTTTAGTAAATCATGAAACCTTTTCCGAAAACGACAAGAGGAAGTTCGGAGTGTGCTACTAACTGACCATATTTATTACAGTTTTAAAATTGTGTAATCTATATGCACTAGCTACCCACAAGAATAACTAAAAATGTCCACTATTAATATAATTACCCAATAAAGAACTTGTGTCCTGAGTTAATCAATAATTTTGTTGCCAGTTGCCTGTATAATTTATAGACTGTCCGTTTTCTGTCTGATCCACGAGGCAAGCAGTGCAGGTATAATCTGCTCACCCCCTTAAGAAAAGAAGCTATAAGCCAGGTGTGGAGGCGCACACCTGTAATCCCAGCACTCAGGAGGCTGGGGCAGGAGGATTGCTGTGAGTTCCAGACCAGCCTGGGCTACAAAGTGCACTCAAGGCCAGCCTGAACTGCATAGCAAGACCCTGTCTCAAAATGACAAAAAAAAAAAGAAAGAAAGAAAAGCAGCAATGACTTAAATCCTATTTATCGCATGTATAAAAAGAAGAACATCAATCTTTCAAACACCAGCCCCGGTAAGTATTTATGTGGTATTAGTTGCGGCAGGTATCAGTCAGTGGTCAGGCAGGGAGTCCATGGTAGGTGGGCCGAGCTGAGAGGGACCCTGAGCGTCAGGCCCGAAGGAGCAGAGCGAGCAGAGCCGGGCCTCGGAGACCCTGGAGCTGCCACCACCACGCTGCACACAGATCCCAGCCACCCTCGGCCACCAGCGGGGGAGGAAAGAAGGGGCTCCTTGGTTCTGCCTGCGCTTCCTGGGCCAGTGCCCAGCTGGGACGGAACCAAACAGCTGGGGGAGGTGGCGTGGGTGCCAGTGGAGGAGGCTCTCCCAGGGTGATGCCACGCTGGGCCCAGCAAGCACGCCGGCCCCTGACCAGAGACGCTTGGGCTTAGAGGCGGAGAAGTAAGAGAATGAACGTGATGCTCTAGGACGCTGACTTGACCAGTGTGAGGGAAGGGCGGGCAGGGAAGCAGGAGGCGGGGTAGCCAGGGGCAGCTGGGGCTGAAACGTGGGGTCTCAACATCAGGGACAGCGGAGAGGAGAAATCATAAAGTGGCGTGCATGTATTTCTGCTCGTTTTGGTGCCTATCGTTTCTTTTTTTTAAAGAACAATAAGTTTATCCACAAGATTCCAAATTAAAAACATATGTTATAGGTCAATCTTGTACAACACAGAAAACTTACAAATTTTGTATTTAACAAGAGAAAGATGAAGCCTCAACTTGACACAGTAATAAGTTTAAAACATAAAACTATGTTCATGGAAGTGCTGCGGCAATTTCCTCAGCCCCACAGGCCCCAGCGGGGACCTCTGCCTCCGGACCAAGCTTGATAGAAAATCAGAGTCCTGCAGGGAGCTGCTCGGCATCCCCGTGCTGATCACCAGAGGCCAGGCGCCACCAGTCCATTTCTCCTTTTTAAGTATAAGCAGCTGTTTTGAAGTCCAGTTTGCTGGTGACTCACTAATCCATTCGTCACTGGAGATTTATCCCTGATGCTAACTGTCCCATCTCCTTTGGGGATCTTAATGTGTTATGAGCTGAGTCCTTTATGAGAAAGTAAATCAGGCACAAGGGCGTACACCTGGAATCTCAGCTACTTGGGAGGCTGAAACAGGAAGATCCCAAGTCGAAGATTAGCC